CTGGGCTTCCCTCGGCGCCTCGCCACGGCCCCGCCAGCTGCCCGGGTGGGGGCCGCGCTGAGCACTGGGCAGTGCTGTGTGGGCCCTCCAGCTCCCCCCTGGGCTCTGGGCCCGCGCCCGGGGGCTGCCCGGCCTCCGGAGCCTGATCCCATCAGCTTCGCTCCGCCCAGGGGTTTCCTGCGGCTCCCGCGCCTCCTCAGCGACACGCTGCTGAGGTCCCCTCACTCCTTCCCGCCGAGTCCTCTTGCCGTGGAACCGGGATGGACACGTCTGCTGGGGGGGAGGGGGGCTGGTCTAGAGCCGGACACATGGCTCTCCCGTGGCTCAGCGTGACGTGCACTTTGATGTCTGATACGAGATCATTTGAGGAGATAGAGGAAGGCGGTGGATACTGAAGTCAGCCATCACTTTAACAATATCCGGAATTCTGTGTCACTCCTTCAAAAAGCAAACTTCGCACTTGTTTTTCTTTACTTTTGCTTCTGCGTATTAACAGCTCACAGTTTACCTCAGTCTTTCTCTCTCTTTAAAGTGCATTTTAGGTTTATTCCACTGAAATGTAACAGCATATTTTTAAGCAAGTATGTACTCCATAGAAAATGGGAGAGATTTCAGTGACCACGTACTTGGAGGAGAATATAGGAAACACACCAGGTGTGGGCGGGTCTTCCTCCGTGTATCTTAGAAAGGGGCACTGAGGGTGGACAGACAGTTATCAAACGTGTGCAGTGAACGTGACTTCTCTGAAGAAGGGATGTTAATTAAGAGAAAAATACTCTAGCCCTGACTGGTTTGGCTCAGTGGATAGAGCGTCAGCCTGCGGACTCAAGGGTCCCAGGTTCGATTCCGGTCAAGGGCATGTACCTGGGTTGTGGGCACATCCCCAGTGGGAGATGTGCAGGAGGCAGCTGATGGATGTTTCTTGCTCATCGATGTTTCTAACTCTCTATCCCTCTCCCTTCCTCTCTGTAAAAAATCAATAAAAATATATTTTTTTAAAAAAGAGAGAAAAATACTCTAGAATTAGGGTCAAAAAGAGTTTCTGTATCCTGTCTATTAAGGAGAGAACATGGAAGGGTTTATTTGGAGAAAATCTTCCTATGACATTAACTTTGACAGAGTTCTCTATTATACCCTAAAAAATACCATTGAACGTAATCTCTAGAGTAAGGAGAGAACTTTCCCTTTTCTTAGAGGTGTGTGTTTACTCTAGTGGGTGCACACGCCTGTGCGTGAGGCATGTATGGCTCTCCTCCTGGCTTGCAGACCCACCTCTGTGTCCTCACATGGCCTTTCCTGGGTGCGTGCATTTGGAAAGAGACATCTCCCTCTCCCTCTCCCTCTCCCTCTTCCTCAGGACCCTACCTTTATGACTTGATTTAACCATAATTACCTCCTAAAAGCCCTATCTCCAAATACCGTAAAATTGGTGGTTGGAACTCCAACGTAAGAATTTGGGGGAGGCAGGTTCAGTTCATGAGGTGCACATGGGTCCTATATAATAAAAGGCTAATATGCAAATCGACCCAAGGGCAGACAACCAGTTCCCGTGATGCGCACTGACCACCAGGGGGCAGATGTTCAACGCAGGAGCTACAGCTCAACCAGAAGCCGAGCGCACGCTGGTGAGTGCAGTGGCAGTGGCGGGACCCTCTCCGCCTTCGCAGCAGCACTAAGGATGTCCGACTGCTGGCTTAGGCCCGCTCCCCCGGAAGCTGGCTGCTTTCCTTCTGTCAGCCCTGACTTCAGGCTTTGCTTTCTCTGAGAACGGTCTCATTTTCTGGATTAAGTCACCACCTCTAAAGCCAGCAATTTGCATATCTCTGTCTACTTCTGATCTTTATCCTGAATTTCATATATTTAGCCATTCAGAATTTTCATAGCCAGCTGTGTGCCTGGCACACAAGACCCAAAGATCGTCTTTGCCCTTAAGTTGCTGACAGTGCAAAAGGGCTTGAAGATGCAGTGTCACCAGCGTGTGGACAGGTTCTGTGGGCAGAGGAGGCAGGTGTACGTGGAGTGCACTGGACTCCAAGGGAACCAAGAGGGCAAGTATCTCACCAGAACACACAGGGTGGGCAAAAGTAGGTTTACAGCTGTTTGCATGGGAAATAATACACTCATTAGTAATAATAATACAAGAATAAACTCTGTGTTTCACGTACTCACAACTGTTAACCTACTTTTGCCCCATCTATAATAACAGCGTAATATGCTAATTAGACTGGACGACCTTCCGAACGAAGCCGGGGCTGTGAGGGCTGAGCCCCTTGCATGAATTTCCTGCATCGGGCCTCTAGTCCTGTCTATTACGGCACCTATGGTTTTTAAAGAATGTATTTGTATTGATTTCAGAGAGGAAGGAAGAGGGAAGGAGAGAGAAACATCAATGAATGAGAGAGAACTCCCAGCACACCCCACACAACCCGGCATGTGCCCTGACCGGGAATTGGACCGTGACCTCTTGGGTCATAGGTCAGTGGTCAGCCACGCTGGCCAGGTGGCACCTTGGTTTTGAAAACTTTATATTCAGGCAACAGCACATGGTTCAGTGTGATTGGGCCTTAAGGGCTTGGGGGTGAGGGAGGAGGAGAGATGAGGCTGAGCGTCTAAGAAGGTGCCAGATCACCCCCAAAGTCAGTGTTCTTAATACTAAACTATTTTCTTCCACTATGAACCAGCCCCCCGCAACTTCACACCCCCAGTCTCCAGACCTAGGTGTCCCCCCCGCCTGCCTCAGCAGTGCCGTCAGCAGGCTGTCGCTTCTCTGTTCCGAATGCCCTTCCAGGCATCCTTTCTGTTTTCAGGCGACACGTCGCTTGTCGCTTAATCGCTGTGTTATTTTAGGGCTGCGTTACACGTCCACTTTTTTACTTTTTAAAAAACTTAACACCCAGCGCCCCTTATTCACCCTGTGGCTGACCCTAAGCAGGAGGACAGTGACACTCCCTTCCTACAGGACAAGAGTTCCTTTTGTCAAGGCAGATCTGCAGCCCACTTTCTCCCACTCACAAACAATTGCAGGATTCAGTCATCGGCACAGACGGTGTTCCATCAGCTTTGCGTCTGTGTTGTGGCCGTTACCTGTCTTTATTCCGAGCGAGCCTCCCGGAAGGACGGTCTCCCCGCAGCCCTGTCGCTCATCCCAGTTCTGCCTGGTGCTGAGCTGCACTGCTTCCCGGTCTCACAGGGTTCGCAGCTCTGCGCCTCACCGTGACGGATGTGACAACAGGGGGCGCGGGAGGGGGGTCCTAGTCCCTATTCCAGGGTGAGGGAGGGCTGGTTAGTTCTGTCGCTCCTGCCCGGCCGGTGTGAGCGCAGTGCATGCTGGTTGGACAGCGGCCCCTGCCTCGTGCCTGTGTGCCCGCTGGCCTCTGCCCGGCTCCTGCTGCCCCGCTCACCTGCCGTTTCGGTTCTGTTTGCCTTTTCTTTTTTCTCGCTGCTCCAGCTCAGGCTGACCTCTGCGTTCCCTTAGGGCAGTGGTTCTCAACCTTCCTAATGCCGCGACCCTTTAGTACAGTTCCTCATGCTGTGGGGACCCCCAACCATCAAATTACGTCCGTGGCTACTTCATCACTGAAATTTTGCTACTGTTATGAATCGTCATGTAAATATCTGATATGCAGGATGTGT